TAATTTATAATTAGATATATTATATAAATTATAAATAGTAATATAATATTAAATATAATTAAAAGAATTGTGAGAATATCATTGTAAAACGATTTCAACGTAAAAATAATTGAATTATAATAAGAATTTGTATAGGAAGATAGGCCCGGTTTGCTAGACAAGTGGTCGCCACGAGATGAGCAACTGTTGCATCCCTCGAGTTTGACGATCCCCACCTTCCTCCCTACGAGTTTACATTCTGGGTCTCACTTTCTCATCTACTCTCTCTCTCCCTCTCCCTCTCCCTCTCCTTCGTCGTCACACTTGCCAAACTAGAACTATCCCAATCTCCAACCCTTTGGAACGTGCCACTCACTCGTTCGTTTCACCGCTACGAAACGTTTCAAACATTAAATAAAACGTTTCGAATTTTAAAAAACAAAAAAAAAAAAAAAAGGGGGAGAAAAACCATAGGACTCGTAACACTTTTCCAACGAAACAAAATCAATTATACGAATGAACGGTACGAAAACGGGCAATTATTTTTTCTTTCTCTATTTTTTTTCTCTTTCAATAAAACTCAAATATCTATCTAATAATACGATGTAGTATATTACTTACCACTATTACTACTTTTTTTGGTGGAAGGGGCAGAAGTGGAGGGGTGTTCCAATTCGTTTTATCCATTCGCAAGATATTTCACGGATTAATATGATTCGACAAGGGACCACCCACGGGTAAAGAGTGGAATCTTTTCTATGCATTAAGTGCGGTCAAGAGGAAAAAGAAGAAAAAGAAAAAGAAGGAATGTTAAAAAAGGGAAAAAAGAAATAAAGGACAGGGTAGTTTAAGAATAAGAAGAAGAAGAAGAAGAAGAAAAAGTAGTATATGTTTGCAGTAAAGAAAGAGAAAGAAGAATAAGAATAAGAAGAAGAAGAGAAACGGATGAAGGTAAAGTGGGAGGGACGATGAGGGTAGCTAGAGAGGGAATTCTGATGAAGAGGGTGGGGAGAAGGGAAGGAAGAGGTAAGAGAGGGTAGTAGGGACGCCTAGCGTCGTGGCGCGTCACGCTGAGTGCAAGAGAAAGAGAAAGAGAGTAAGTGAGTGAATGAGAGAGAGAGAGGGAAAAGGAGGAGGAGGGTGAGGATGAGGAGGAGGGAGGGGTGGGGTGGGGGGGGGAAAGGGGTGAGGGAAAGAGTGAGCCGCACCGTGGCTCAGCTTTCGAGTCAGTCTGCGTCCGCCAGTCGTCGCGACGTCCTCGCGAAATTACCGAATTCCTAAATTTGCAGAAAAACTACCTAGCTGTTGACTGACCTTCCTATTACATTTCTATTACCTTCCTACCTTTATAAAACCCTTTTTCCTTCTCGTCTTAAATCGTTTTTTTCTCCCCTTTCCCTCATCAATCTGTGTGTTCACTTTCGGTGATATTTATATTAATTCGTATTTATATTACACTCGGTATATTATTTTTGTTGTTATTGTTGTTGCTGCTGTTGTTCACACTCCTCTTTGCTTGAGAATATTTATTTTTCCTATTTTAGTTTTTTTTCTTCTGTTTCATTTAATACGTAAAATTTGACGTAGTTTAAATAAGATTGATAAAAAAGGGAAGAGATCGGTAAATTTGGAAGAAGTTAATCATCGTTGTTGTTGTTGCTTTTTATTTGGATTTGAAAAGGTTTGAAATTATAAAATAAAATAATATAAAAAAGTATAAATGAAAATATTTTTGATTCGAGTGTTATCAATCGTAATTATCCTCCTTGTTCGCGAATTTGTTTATTTGCCGAGAGAAAGTGATTTTTGTTGTTGTTGTTGTATGATTTAACAATATAATGTTGTATTGTAATAAATACATTTGATTATTATTGAACGTATTTAATAACAGTGATTAATATATATTCATATATATATATATATATATATATATTATTCGTGATAAAACGGAAAGTGAAAATTATTGAGGAAAAATATACGTAGAGGAGACTTTTGATCCAGAAAAAAGAAAAAAAGAAAAAAGAAATAAATAGAAAAGGGGACTTATTAAAATTGTTTTAAATAACTTCGAAAAATAATATTCGTAAAGTTATCGTCGGATTCGTTTCGTTAAGAAATATATTTTCTTCTTCGAGACGTGAAAATTTCGTTACGAATTTTTCGTAATATTTATTCTCACGTTTTATCTCACATATATAAATAAATGAATAAATAAATAAATAAATAAATAAATTAATTAAAAAAAAAAAAGAACGGTGACCATATCGAAGAAACTTTGAAAATATATTGGAAACGTAATAAGATAGAAAAAAAACAAACTTTGATATAACGTGGTGCAAAAGAAAATCTCTTTTCTTGAGAATATATTTATCGTGTCATATCAGAGACAGTTCGATCGTTGCACATCGTTCGAAGACAACGAAGACGAACACGACGACGGATGGGTACCCCGTTTTGAACTTCCATCGAAGAAGAAAAAGAAATAATAGAAGAAGAAGAAGAAGAAGAAGAAGAAGAAAAAGATTCTTAACTACTTTTCTTCCCTACTTTCTAAGTAAGTAAGTAAATCAATTTCATAACACACGTAATACAAACTCATTCTTCTTTCGACAGTTACCTTTTTTTTTTCTTTTTTTTTTTTCATGTTATTACAATTTATTTAAAGAACGTTCATTTTTATATAGGAAAAATAAAAAAAAAGTAAAAATATAAATATATATATATATACACACGATTATGATATTAAATCACAACGAGAATTTAATATATAAAGGTATTATAATTTTTTTATTTTAATTTTTTTTTTTTTTATTTTCTCAACCATTATAAAAATAAAATATATTATATGTATATATACACGTACGGTTTTATTATTTTTTTTTTGCATATATTTCGCGCTTTGTTTTTCTTTCGTTTTTTTTTGGGGGTGGGTGGATTTTTCGTTATTATTTTTTTTCATTTTTTTTTTTTACCCCCAAATAAATAACGTTCGACGGATACCGAACGAATCCCGCGTGCTAATACCTTTAATCGAGGAGATTAATTCGCATGGAATTTTGCAGCTGCCGAATCGAGTAGATTTATTATAGATTCTCGCGATTTAACTCGAACTATCTCGTTATTAATTCGCGAGAATAATATATATTTATATATATGCATATATAAATAAATACAAGGGTTGTGTTGAACATATTCATAATTAATCCTAGAACTTAGTCTCTCTTTATAAGGTGAAAGAAAATTTAAAAAAACAAATAAAAAAGAAGAAGAAGAAATTCTCTGAGATCATTATCGGTAAATAATCAACGCTTAATAAGTGTCATTCATTTCGCGTTTTAACGGATTGTCACCTTTTTACTATGCTATTGATTATATTATAATAAAAAAAAAAAAAACATCGCGTTATTAAATTCTTTCATCGAAATTAATGACTTTCCGCGCGTTACAAATATTCATCAGTCGAGAAATCGAACCGAAACGACGTTCGATTTCAATTTAAAAACACGATTTATTTGTTAAAAAATGTGTCACGCGCGAATAAAATGCCATACATGCATTGCATGCATGCATGCACAGTGTCATGTGCATAATTTTTATTTAAATTATTATCAGCTAATGTATTAATCATGCACCTTAAAAAAACGAGACGGTTAATATTAACCCTTTGAGTGCTATTGACGCATATATGCGTTTTTGGTAAAATGTGAATGTAAAATAATGTAAAAAAATTTTTGTTCTATCTTTTCAGATGAAGAAAATAATATTGTGAGAAAGAAAAATTATAATTTATTAATATTGACATATCTAATCACAATAATAATAAACTATTTTATTAATAGAAAACACTTCAGTTAAAAGTATTCAGCACTCAAAGGGTTCTCTTCTTCTTTTACCATCACGTATTCCGTGTTATTCCGTTTTCTAATGCAATGATGAAAAAACCAAAAAAAAATAAGAAAAGCGAGAATAATAGTAGTGAAAATAGGAATGATGGGGGGAGGGGTGGGGGTTGGTTGAAGAAAAAAATATACGTTAGTTCGATGATCGATCGATTAAAATGATAGTTGGGGGTGTGGGAGTGAGGTTGGGGTTCGGGTTGGGGTTGGGGGTGAGGGAGGGTTAGTGTTGAATGTAAATGCAGCATTAATGTTTCGCGGGATGTTAATGCGCTACCCCCCCCACGGATATTATTTATTCAGCGAGCGTGCATTAACGAACCTACGCCCGTAAATTACCAACCCGAGCGAGCGTGCGATGTGCGACTGACTTATCTGCATCGATGACAACTCGACCGCACACCGTGCGACCTATACCACCGTTTACGTTGCACCCAGTGACTATGGTACCACTACAAACCACCATTAACAACCACCACCATCACCGGATATCAACCAAGTGCGAGTCGTGAAAATGCATGCGCGCATTAATAAAACATAGCGACGGAATTGAAAAATCGTCAGGTGAAAAAATTGCGGATTGACGGCCGATTTACGGGACCTCTTCCTCACCCCCGACCCCTTCTCCTTTCCAACCTAACCGGAAGGTAGACGAAGAAGACAATATGGATACGAAAAATAAAAAGAAAAGTATGTAAAACGAAACTTATTTCTTTACCAAATAAAAGAGATATAAAATAATATATTTTTTGTTGTTATTCTACGTGAAAGAATAACTTATTTTTATGTTTAATTGTTTGTCTTATCCGTTAACTTTCGATTACTCGAAATATATTTATTGCAGGTAATTAAAGTAAGAAAATATCAAGAACAACTTAAGCACGAGTCTGACTCGTGTTGTCGTTAGGTTTGGTTTATACGAAGTATCACGAGTCAGGCTCGTGTTGTTCACGTTTTATCCGAACGAAGTATCATGAGTTTGATTGGTGTTATTTACGGTTTGATTCTAATGTAATAATACCACAAGTTTCATTCGTTTCTGTAGGAAAATAATTGAATATGAATTTGATTAATGAAAATATTATAACGATACCAATTCTTCTATGGTAATTTTTTTTCTTTTAGATCTGTCTATTAAAGATTACTTTTTATTTTCTTTTAATCTTTGATAATAGTCTACTCAAGGATTCTTTATTTTAATTTCTGTTCATTCTCTCCCTGGTCCCAATCAAGATTCCTGTAATCTCATTCGCGCCTTTAATATATGCACGGTTCTATAAATAAATGCATATTGTTATCAGTAGCGATCGATACATTTCACACATACACGCAACACATATACTCTACTAACTAATTTTACAATTTTCTAGTACTTTGTACTGGGTTGTCGATCGTTTGATCTTACACGCAGGGGACACGCACACACAATATAACCCAACGTTAGAATTTATTTTTCAACTGTCAATCGATTTATTTTACACACACACGTACAATTAATTTTTTATTATTATTTTTAGTAAAGTGTCGATTTATTATTTATCTGTAAGATTCGTGAAAAAAATTTGGATCACTGAAAATTGACTGGACCGGGATTCGAACCACGGATCTTTCGGGTTTCCGAGTGACTGGTGTTCTTTATCCATTGAGCTATCCAGAGCCTACCGTTCAATCCCCTTACGAATGCTTATTTAAGTATTTCGCATGGAGGCGTTCGTCCCACATATCTGATAATATCGTAACAAACAAATCCGAAAATATCATAAGATTAAATCCGTAGAAGAAAGAAATATTCAATCTGTATAATATATATACAAAGTTAGATTAAAAAATCATTGAAATAATACAGTAAGAAAAGTATACTTTAAAATTATACTTAGTAGATTAAACATGAAACAATTGCAAAAGATCTTTTTACAATATAACTTAACAAAATTTTTCCTTAACCTATTGTCAAGATGTTTCCTTACCGATAGGAATATCTACACTTAATTTGCTAAACAAATTTGTCTTGGACAAATTGCGGAGTAATTAAAAGATAAAAAAGAAACAGAAAGTTAACATATTACGTATCTTATAATAAATCAAATGATTTTAATCAGTTTTAGTAGAAATGGTTTCGTTATTATCTCGATAGTTCTACCGTTAATTAAATATTAAATATTTAGTCAATGAGAGAAAATGACGTATGTACGGTGGTAGTGATTGGTGGTCTAAAAGGGAATTGTTCAGCTCCCTTTTTCGGTTGTTATCGTCCCACTTCTCGTCTCGTCTCGTCGTTGTCTTCTTCTCTCATTTCGTCTAATTTCGTTGATGGTGTAAGTAAATCTGTGAAGTACTGTGGATAGACCAGACGAAGGAGGAAGAGTAGGAGGATTAATTCGGCGATTATATTCACTGTAAATCAACTCAGGCGGTACCCGCCTCGGCAAATTTCACAATTTAATCTTCGGCGACACTCTTGCGATACGTCGACGTCATTTCTCGTCGTCCCAACGCAGTAGAGACGCTACCAACGACAACTACGACAACTACGACAACGATGCTGAACGTTAAGTCTCTTTAAGCACGCACGTAACATTTTCTCACGAAATCTGCTACGGCCAGGCCAAAAGTTAACGTTAAACTCGGGGAATGCACGGTTATATATCCTAGTTTTCGAGTAAATTAGCAAGAGAAAGAGATACAACGAGTGGGAGAGAGTATATGTATGTTTTTGTGTGTATGCGTGTGTGTTTTTGTGAGAGAGAAAGTAAAAGATAAAAGGAGAAAGATATATAAACCCGACAAAGACAATTCTTAGTTTGTACAGACCTTCGTGTGAACTATACGCTTTTCAAAGTTTCAAGATTTATATTCGTGGCACCCGTACTAACCGCACCTATGGACTTTCAAGAGTACTCTGACAATGTTGATTGAAAAAAATGGCCTAACCTACAACCTACTTTCTTTCTCGTTTCACATCCTCTTTTCACGATTTTCTCAACTAATTTCAAATTAAACATTCCTAATTTTTACCCCCTTTGAGTGCTATGAATGCATATATGCAATTCGCGTGGACTAAGAACGCATATATGCGCTTATTAATTTTTGTCGATTTTTATTGGTTTTTAAGATTCTTTTTTATTCTTTTCTTTTTTGTTTTTATTTTATCAAAATAAAAGTTTGTATTGGCAAACGTATATTCTCCATTTTTAATTTTCTCATTGCTACGGACGCATATATGCGCTTATCAATTGTTTGTCAATCTTCTTTGGTTTTTATGATTCTTTTCTTTCTTATTTCTGCTTTTATTTTATCAAAATAGTTTGCATTAGCAGAAAAATCATGATGTACATTCCAATTTTTTAGTCCTTTGAATTCTACGAACGCATATATGCGTTCAACGGTAACAATTCGCGTGGACTAAGAACGCATATATGCGCTTATTAATTTTTGTCGATTTTTATTGGTTTTTAAGATTCTCTTCGTTTTTGCTTTTATTTTATCAAAATTAAAGTTTGTATTGGCAAACGTATATTCTACATTTTTAATTTTCTCATTACTACGGACGCATATATGCGCTTATCAATTTTTTTTTATCTTCCTTGGTTTTTAGGATTCCAAATTAAACATTCCTAATTTTTAATAATCTTTTGTGTGCTATGGACGCATACATGCA